ATACATACATATATACATACATGCATACATACGTACGTACGTACATACATACATACATACATACATACATACATACATACATACATACATATATACATATATATATTTATATACATATATTGTACACATATTTTAATTATATATATTCTGTGCACATGTACATTGATATGTCTGTGCAGATGAAGATCCCTACCTGCACCACATCCGTCTGTTCTCCCAGCGTGCGGGTATATAAGGCTGTCTTCTCGACAATGGGAGTTGTAATGCGATATGCACCATAGTTGAGGGCTGCTTGTTGAGCTGTGTGAATGATGTGTTGCTGTAGTACACTCTCTCGCTCTGATAATGTGTCTTTCATCCCCAACACCCGAGAGATTCTTAATGCCCTGCTAGATGACGATCTATTGAGAGTCTTTAAAGCACTCTGTGTTGACATAGAGGTGTGCTTCTTAACCACAGCATATTGTACATGTGGTTCTACAAAATGCGCTCGTGCAGTCTGTGGTGTGTGGAGTGTCCGTCTGCCGATGGCACACACACTGGATCGTGTGTTGTGTTCCTGTGAATGAAGACTATAAGAGAGTGATTGCAAAGTAAAACCACACCTGCCAGGCCGTTGGATGGGCACATCAAGACTTAATTTCCGAAGCATGTTTGTCGATGGCGCTGCTGTTAACAACAACGATTTGTCTCGTATGAAGCTTTACAGGCGTATTCTGTAGTGGGATTCTACCGACACTGCCGGTGTATATATGATCAGCTAGATCTCAATTGTGCCTGTGGTGCCTGTGGTTTCACACATGAATCCTCACGAGTGGTTGTATATTGTCCTCTGAAGTAGTTTATTGTTCATATATATCAAGTGCACATGAGTGTGATCACTTTCCTCATCCGAGTCTGTGTTTAAATATGACTTTATGCAAGTCCTGCTACCATAGCCTCCTACACTTCTTCCTAGTTTTCTTTTTTAAGAGGCTCTGGTGAAGTGGTGATGGCTCAGGGGTGGCGTTACTGGCGTACATACCAGTGAGATACCACCCATGAGTCCATGACCCACTTTCGGGCCTCACTGACCTACTGCGAGGCCTAATCCCTATATACCAAATAGAGAGTAGAGAGTAGTGATGTGCCACCAGGCATCTTATTCTACAAAGCCGGTAAGGGTTTGATTGGCTCTGCTAACAACCTATTGTTTACAAAATGTCAAAATCACAGCTGGGACGCCGTGGGGACTAAACGCATATACTTATAGGGAGATAAGGGGTAACTTTCTGTTCATGTCTTTTTAAACAAAAAAAAATACAAAAGGGATATGGGGCTCTAGAGAGGGGTCTACAAATAAGCAAAAAATCAATTTCGGCCTTGCTCTTATAATCATTCTATATAGGGTCTCAAATGGGCAAAGCACATTCCAGCCGGATTTTTTGGCAACGGACAAGAAATCGGTGATAATGGAAATAGGGAAAAGAAAAGCTTGAAAGACTGCGATCACTATTTCTAAACCCTTTAATATTATTTAACGCTTACGCGTGCGACCCGTCTTAAGTCTGACGCTTCACCTTGTGATTCTTAAATCTGACGCTCAACCGACGCTTTACCTTGTGATTCTAAGGTTTTAGGGTTTAAGGATATAAACACGTATACATATACACAAACTTGCATATAAACATATAAACATATTTACATATATACGTATATTCAAAGTTTAAGTTTTCTCATCATTTATCATTAATAGGCCTTAATCTTCAATATTTTCTCCCCATTTATAGCCCTTGCTTGATCTTTGATGTTTTTGCCCCATTTATAGGCATTAATCCCGGATTGGAATACTAGTCCCCACCTCCCCTCTTTCTCTCGCTCCTTTTAAATATTTCGTTTCACATAAATTATACGCCAAATCTATTTTTAGAACTCTTCCGCTATGCATCCGTTTGGTAAGCGGATAGTTGTAGGCAATGAAGATGGCACTCTCATTCATTTGGTTGATCGTATGTCACATTTATCATATCCAGTTCCTCTGTCAAATGAACTTCAATCAACCAATGGAAGCACTCTTATAACCTACAATCCACCAATGGAAACACTCTGTTAATCCGAGCTTTCCTAGTTCACAGCCAACTAGATCAGTCTTCCTGCATACCCACATCTGCGCGCTTTGTGCCGCGTTGCTTTCTGGCGAGCGCCTTTGCCTTAGCCATTGCTATTCTATCCTCTGTGTTGCGTTTGCTTGACATGACAGCCTTGGCCTTCGCTGCTGCCTCCTGAGCCCCTTCGCGACCGTTGCTAGGAGTAACAACATCGTTGACAGGGGCAACTGAGCTTTTGCTCGTGCTTGTGTTAGCACTATCACGCCCTCTTGTGTCTTGAGTTGTGTGTGTCCCGTGTTTGTTGTCAGTGTGCGTGTTTTCGTCTCTGTCGACTCTGTGGCTCCTTTCCCTCCGCTCGTGTCTGTCAGATGTGTGCCTGTCTGTCCGCCTGTCTCTGTTCCTACTCCTGCTCCTACTCCTCCTTCTACTCCTGCTCCCACTTCGACTCCGGCGCCGACCCCCACCATCGCCAACACGCGACCTGCTAGACTCCCGAGTACGCTCTCGGGTGCGCTCCGGTGCGCGTGGACTTCTCTCATCTGGGTTGGCTCTATGTGTACGTGTGCTGGCGCCTGTATGTGTGTCTCTGCCCTGTCCGTGTGTGGGGTTGCCATGATTACCCCCACCATGTGGTGCTGGGCTCTGCCTCCCACTGCGTTGTTCGCTTGGGCCGTCTGATGCGTCTGCTGGCTCAGACATAGCGGATGCACTTTCAGCTCTGGCTTTATCTGCACAAGAGGTACGACAAACATCGTACGATTGCCATTAGCTGACGTTAAATGTCGCACTGTATTCGCTACTGCTGCCTACGCACCCATATACAACCTTAAAAACCCTACACCCATATAAAACCCTAAAAACCTTTCGCCCACAGCCAATACGCCTTGCAGCGTACCTTGGCCATGCTAGGGTTGGACGAACACGCATCTTGCTGTTTAGCGCACAATCAACTCGATGTGGTAACAGTCGTGCGACCGATTACATGGCATAGACTATCACGAGCAGTGCAATGCACAGACAACACAGCTATACACACTAAAAAAATACACACACACACACACACACACACACGCACACATACACAGAGACAGACAGACACAGACACAGACACAGACACACATAGAGACATGCGTATGTACACATCACACCTCGCAGACGAATACAGATACACACACATAAATATATATATATATATTAACCACCCTCAACTCTAAACTCTAAACTCACGCAACATACCAGCGATTGTCGGCTCGGATGCGGTGTCTGTGGCATTTGCAGAGTCCTTGACATCCGCTCCCATGGCAACGTTGGACGTCAGCAGATTGCGATAGAAACCCGACAGGTCACTCTGGTTACGCACATCATCCTTAGCTGCAGAAGCAAAGCAATAGCGTGTGCAAGACACCAGGGATCACGTTACAAGACTGTTTACTAGCACGCTGCTACGTCACAGTGATTATGACGTACGCCTATTGCGTCATGCTGATAGGGTCACGTGATGTCAAATACATCACGACAAGCTGTGACATCACTTGTATGACGTCCACTGCGCACATGAGGTAGCTTTCCACACACGATATAGAGGAACATAACATAAACCTACGAAGCACTGCAAGGGCCCTGGCTGAGAAAGACACACACGGCATTACACTACAGACGACACTGCAGGCCTATGGACGACCACGCAGCGGCCCACGAGAGAGACGGCAGACGCACTTTGTCCATCGACACATGTTGTAGAGCCATGCAATGCTAAACTATAAATGCCCGTACAGATACTACGTCAGCAATAGTAACGAGGGCAAGCATAGGCGTACACCCGTAGTCTCAAGTGCAGGGACGAGATCGCAGGCAGCACAGGTAACTTGCACCTACGAGAAAGCAAACTTGCCATGCACAAGAATATAATACATGGCAACGAGATACTTCACATGCAATCACAGACACTAATATGTGCTTGTGTGTACTAAGGTCGGTATATATATATATATATATATATATATAATAATATATAATATAATATATATATATATATATATATGTGTGTGTGTGTGTGTGT